ATTTAACTGCAGAATATTTGTGCCCTTGAATTCTAATACTCCTTCAATTTGTATGTTTTCGCAGCTCTTTGTGTGAAGCGCTGTAATATGTAATTTGTATGTCTCAAACGACTAAAAATACCTAGAGCTCCTCTGTAGTGTGGTTGTGAAATATCACCCACCGCAAACGACTTAAATTACACGGTACCTTTCTAGTCAATTCACTTCGTTCCCCTCAATGGACCTCTAAACCAATGAATGGGTCCTTCTCGAGTAATTGATCACAGACGGTATGTACTCATTCGCTTTACATGTGACTCACTCCCTCGTTGGCCTCGAGGATCGGTGAAATCGTGAAGGTTGTCACTATCCTTCTAAAGAACAACCTCCATTGGTTTGATTGTGAGTTTAAGCTAGCAAGAATAGATTTGTGGAGGTACAAAATAACTTATGGCTTGGACCAATATCCAAGCCAAGCCTTTGGCGCGTAGCATGTCGGTTTGACGATTAGGCGGTGGAGAATGGGCCCCGGGGTGTGCCAAAGTTTTCCCCAAAATCATAATTTTTACAAAAAATCGTGGTCCATGCAAATTTAACTATATTGAGCTTGAATTAATAAAAAATATCGTCTCCCTCGTCATAGCCAATGTCGTAGTCCTCGCTGGTGTAACCCGAGTTCGCACGACCCAGCACAGCCTGATACGAGCCTTACGGTTCTCACGATACTTCGCCTTGGAGAACAAGTTCCTCATCTTGATTTTGCTTCCGATGGAAATCAAGCGGTTCTTGTACTGATTGTAGCCCTCGCCATCCACATTCCGCAATGGATTGAAAAGAACATGGACATTGGTTAGGTCAACACACGTCTGGAAGTACATAATGTACTCATCCTTCTTCCACGTGTACTTGTCCGACACAATACACCACAGCGTCTTGAGTCTACCAAAGAAGTTCTCGACAATAACTCGATCCGACGCCAACTTGGCATTGGCCCGCACCTGCTCCATAGACAGCTGACCGTGCGGTGGGCGCTTAGTTGGCGTAAAGCCACGGACGTACTCTTGGATGCCTTGGTAGCCTTTGTCCGCCAGAAGGGCCCATCGACTCGGGAACTTGTCGCGGAGAGCTTCGTTGTCGATGACGTTGTAATCGTTCGGCTGCTTCTCCAGTTGGTTCGAGTGGAAGCCCAGGTTAGCCTTAAACATTTCTAAGCCCGACGTGCTGCCCACAGCACAATCCGTTGCATTGATGGCCAAGCCGTTCGGAGCCACCGACTCCTCGACCTTGTTACCATAGAGTCCATGCATCTTGGAGAAGTACGTTTTCTTCTCGCCAAAGGATACCACAGGTGCACTGGTTTGCTGAAAGGTGACGTCAACGGCATAAAGCGCCGACTTGTGGGTTTCAAACTGATGACCAGCGACAGCAAGCTGGTGCATCGTCCACTTGAATCCTTGTTCATCGATGTACTTGCGGATCAGATACGGATGGAGATCACGGATAAATTGGGCGATGCGGTTGCTGAACGTTGCGGCCTTCTCGTCAAATCTGGCAGCAAGCATATCCCAAGTGCCAGCATGCTTGAGCGTCACGAGGGTCATGAAGAGCATGTCCTTCCCAGTCACCGGACATTTGCGGCCACCACCAACATTCCAGTTCTTCGACACGTATGGATTGATGTTGGACCAGAGAGTATTGAGCTCGGACACCGAAAAATTGGTCAGGGCGTGGACGACCTCAACCCCTTTGACGGCAATGTACCGGTCTATAACGGGCGAGGCAGAGTCTAGGTCCTCAGCAGTAGCATCACTGGACACAATTGAAAATCGCTGACGCTTGGTGTGACGGCGTTCGTCAATTACCGCAAGTGCATCGACTGCTTTGGCAATTTTGCTGGCGGAGAGGAGTCTCTTAGCTGGTGTTGTGGTGCTTTGGCTGGCCATGAACATCGAGTGGTGGATGACCTTGGATGATATATTGAATTTCAGCAGTGATCGACCAAATCGCCAATCTACTGAGCATTCTAGAAAAGACGACCTGTACAACACGATGCACAATCTCTGGTCAAGTCATGAATCACCCAAAGTGAATGATGTACTCGTTGAAGTGCCCTGTCAATTTGTGAATAGTTTACAAAATTATAGGGGTGTCATATTGCACAAGTGTGTACCCAATCACTGTGTTAATATCATTTCATTCGCCAGGAGGTCTAATACAGTAGCAATTTGCCAGGACGTCCAGGTAGTCCTGTACTCAATCGTCCCGTACGAATCCATCCAACATCCAGCAACCGACCTCAGCGAGGTTGATCTGGACTCGGGGCGCACTCGACCAGAGCACTTCCCCCTACAATGGGTGACCAAGGGTGAGTTCCAACGCCTGCCGCATCGCATCCACGCCGTCGTCGTGCTCGTGGGACAACACCCACTTGCGCAGCAGTACGGGAACGTCTTCGTACAGGTTGAGGGCTGGCTCCCACGACGCCTCTTCGTCTTCAAGGCCGAGCCACTTGACCAGGATTTGATGCTGCCCGTCGACAACACGGGCCGCCAGGAGGTCTTCCACGTGGAAACCACCTTCGCCGTAGGCTGCTTGTTCCAGCAGGTCTTCGGCCGTGCCGTTCGCCGCCTCGCTGTACAACTTCAGACGGCAGGCATGGTGCACAGATTCGTTGAAAGGGGGCACCAGCTGTTCGGTCGCCATCACATAGTCGGTGATAACTCGCGTGATTCTTGACGG